AGATCTGCATCAGATCTTTGGCCAAATCTTGGCACATCTGCATTGCAGAAAAACTGCAGATTACAGAATCTTTGCAGAATCTGCAAAGATTTTTGCAGATCGAGTTTTTTTGGGTGGTTGGTATGACTCATGGCACGATGTATGTTTAAAGGTTTAAATTGTCGCGTCTTGCGAGTGTTGATATCCTGTTTTAAAGCGATAAGATTTCTGAGATAAGTAGGAGTCATGTTTAGACCTGTGCGCCGCGCCGCTGTCGCTGAATAACTAAGGTTTTCGGCGTCTGTTTTTTTTGAACACTTCGGCGCCGCCCCCGATGAGTGAGTTAATAAAATAAAAGTTGTTTAATGAAACTGACAAGGATCTTGACTTAATGTAAAGTGTTTTGTACTCAAATTTGATTGTGATTGGCCCCTCCGCTGACGATGGAAAGCTTTAAATAATCTTTTAGCCGCCGCCGCCGCCGAAGGCGGAAAATCTTTTAATGAGGTTCCGCAGCCGCCGCTGATCGAAAAACTTCTGTTACACACCGCCGCCAATTTTCCGTTCGGCGCACAGCTCTAGTCATGTTATGCACGATTTTGTAAATAAATAACAATTTGCTGTACTTTATGAGCTGTCTCACAGATGGTATACCAAGTTCTACTTGTAGTTTCAGTATGTTTGTGCCACGGCAAGCTCCCTAGATAAGCAGAAGAGCTTTAGTCTGTAGTTTCTCTAATCTTTTAATATTCGCTTGAGTAGTACTGCTATACAGAGCTAGTCCGTATTGCATAAATAAAAATAAATGGAACAAGCACCTTGCTGAAGGTTTTCAAGTAAATTTCCTTGAAATGGGTCAGCCAAGTGCTTGGATAAGTACTTACAAGTAAAATTACTTGTGAAAAACCACCAGCAACTGGCTTCATTACTTGTGCCAAGCACTTTTCGTTTGCTTAGCTTTAAGTACATTCACTAGGGTACATACTTCGGAACTGGCTAGTAATTGAAAACACTGTATTCACTTCTCTAATATATTAGCAGAGAATTATGTAAAAGGTTTGACATCAATCAACATAGATAATTCCAAATCGATCTATTCTAAAAGATAATTGACTACTTGTAAACAAGTAACGCTCATTTCAAATGACTCGAGCTCTTGACTGAAAGTACACGTTAATTTTTCGTACCCAAGTTGACTTTCTTGCTTCATTCGCGACGCGATCGCGTTACGTTCACTCAACTCACGCCGCAATCGTTAAAAAGTCGCTATTGTCGCGACGCGATCGCAATGAACTCTTATTTTTCAAAAACTGTGTAACTCGTGTTCGCGACACGACAATTTTTCTCAAGCGCTCGCGCGTGGATTGCGACGTCGCGCAGCGACTCGCTATACACTGTAATTTGGAATTAGTTTCTAGTTTATAGAAAATCGATCTGAAAAATCGTGGAACTTTTTCTGATATTTGTAAAATACTCGTAGATTTTCTGACTTTTTAGAAATTTGCGATTTTCTATAAATTGACTTTTCGTTTTATTCAGAAAATCGCCATAGAATTTCCAAAAATATCGAAATTCCACGTCGATTTTATAAGTACTGGAAATTCGAGTTTGATTTTCTAATATTCTAGAAAATCGATCGATTTTCTATAAATAATTTTCAAGATTCTTGAAATTCGAAATGGATTTTCCAGTTTTCTTGAAAATCAATAGCAATTTTCAAGATAGTTGGAAATTCGAAGATGATACGGTATACATGGATCAGTCATATTATGTGCAAGTCATAAGTTAATATTTTTGTGTGAATAAAATTAAGAAGAAATTCTACTAGGTATCTGATACTTGAAAAAAGGTTAAACTAATTTCTAGGGTCCACGAAGCTCTTTCGGCAAAAATTGTTCATCTATTTATCGAATCCCAATTGGCGACTAGTAGTAATAAAACCAGCGGGATCTATCCACATCTGAAGGTCATAGGTGGTATAGATGACAGGTGAGACTTTATATCTTAAACCTTCAGATGTGGATAGACCTCGCTGGTTTTATTGGTCTGAGAGATGCCTTTTGATATTTTCTTTGAGTGTGGGCGATCAAAATCAACCTGTCACGCGGACGACCATGTACTTCATCCAAGTTACATATAGGAAGATAGAGAATTTTCTGCACTTCAGAATGAGCAAGCTTCTTAAAAATATATCCATATAAAGCAAGTCTCGAAATGTTGAACTTAAGTATTGGTTTTCAATTTTTGCAAGAGCGTATGTGTCTGAGCCAGACATCCCTTGCCCTTTACAACTGACTTTTTTCTGTCAGAAACATATTAGTATGCCAGTAGTATCATTTTCTGTACCTAATCTTTTACTCAAGAAACCTAATTCAAGAATCGTCACGAGCAACTTTTAGACAAATACCTTAACTTCAAAAAAAAAATGAAGATCGTACGATAAACTGTCTAGGAGAAGTAGCAAGTTTACTGCGCCAAAACCATGTTCCGAGAAAAACATTAAACAAGTTTGAAGATGATCGTAGTAGTAGATCTAAGATTTAATCTAGGAATGTAATACATATTTATGAAGCAGAAAAAAGCTCTTTCTGTTCATATATAATTAATTCGATTAGATTTTAGGTTTTAAAATCTGTAAAATGGCGGTATTTTCATTCTCAGTAACTAACGAAAAAATACTAAAAACCTGCTAAATAGTGAGAAGGCTGACAGAAAACCTCTCAAAAATCCATGAGAAACTAACTTTTTTTGTGGAAAACAACAAGATTCTGAAAGAGGAAATTCAGCGTTTCCAGCTAAACAAGAAACTCAGTTTCGGTTTTTTATCAAAATATCGATTTTTGAGGGATTCTTAACAGAACAACGTTCGTAGTTACTCTTCAACTTATGTAAAAGGCACTGTTGTAAGCATTAAGTATGTGGTTATCTGTGATCAAATCGTGTTGTTGCTTTTTAAAAAAGGATTGTTCTCTTGTTTAAAATATTTCTATATTTTTTATCGATCTATTTCAATAAATACAACAGTTTAAAGTGAAACGAACGGATAGCTGGCAAAAAAAGAAATCTATGAAAGAGGATGAATCCGGTACCTGTGGTTAAAACATACGGAAATACAAGAAAAAATGCAGCAGGAACGTCGATTCCGGTTAATTTTCGACGTCAGATTTGATATGAAATGTGCGGGAACTGTCCAAGTCTGAAGACCAGGTTTCCGATGATTTTCGGTACGGATCTCGCAAAATTTATCAGATCCTGCGGGTTTAATGGACCTAGATAGGGTATCTCTTTCTTCTTCCAACGCACTTCGCTTATGCACCTGAAATATGTCGAGTTGGAATTAAACGTCAAAAGCTAAGCGATTCTTACGATATAAGAATCAATTGCTCTGCGTAATACTGCCCGTCGCAACTTTAGACTTTGTATAAGTTCTTCGCTATAATACATAAAAATACGAAACAAAGAATATGATAACTTTCTTCACCAAAAACCTGCGACATATAAAAATTATTTTCGGACAAATTATATATAGTAAAAAAGTGTACCATCAATTCTTCAAACATTGTGACATAACCTTGATTAAAAGATTGTTTTGTTTTGTCTCCTGGGGTCGTATTACACATGGTCGTCCGCGTGACAGGTTGATTTTGATCGCCCACACTCAAAGAAAATATGAAAAGGCATCTCTCAGACCAACAAAACCAGCGAGGTCTATCCACATCTGAAGGTTTAAGATATAAAGTCTCACCTGTCATCTATACCACCTATGACCTTCAGATGTGGATAGACCTCGCTGGTTTTATTGGTCTGAGAAATGCCTTTTGATATTTTCTTTGAGTGTGGGCGATCTGAATCAACTTGTCACACGGACGACCATGTACAATACGATCACAGGAGACAACAACAAACAATGTTTTAATTAAGGTTATGTCACAATGTTTCAAGAACTGATGGTTCATTTTTTTACTATGTATAATTTTGTCCGAAAATAAATTATATATGTCGCAGGTTTTTAGTGAAGAAAGTTATCATATTTTCTGTTTCGTATTTTTATGTATTATAACGAAGAATTTATACAAAGTCGAAGTTGCGAAGGGCATTAGGTAGGCAGGGCAAGTGATTCTTACACACTATGAAAATTGTCGAATTATAGAGCCTGTCGAATTAGAGGGCCATCGTAGCCTTCTCCTTTAACTGAAAACTTTCAAGAATGCATGAAATGCGTTAACAACCAGCTTTTTCACAAGCGAGCTATTAGCTGTTTCTCAAGAAGTTATGGTCCAGAACTGCTCCAGTTTGAAGAACAGGACAAGGGTATCCTATCTTAGTAAAAGATTTAATATATTGGCATATATGTGGCATAAGTGTCTCTCATACAGGAAAAATGTTCTTTTACTTTCCAATTTGGAATTTCTGTTTTGACAGTTCAAGCAATTTTATAGATAGCATCGTTCAATAAATACCTATGCTTTGATGTAGCTCGGTATAGATCAACGTTTTGTTTTAACTTTATTCAACCTCTCTAATCTATCGGAGAGGAAATCTGCAAAAATTGTCTAGAGCATAATGAATATTAAAAGAACAACAAAGAAACAAAAAAAAACGAACAGTAAACGTGAGAAACAACAAAGCAAAATTTCTAACAACAAAAATTTTACTTTTATTTTCATACTATTCCATTGTCCTGAGAATGCTTAATCAGTCATACAGATACTGCAGATCTTCTTGTCGCACCGATTAAGTATGACTATTAAAAATAAAACTTTAATTATGGAATATTACTATCTGGAGTTGGTATGGATTTTTAAGATCATTCTAGTATCTGTGTCGTTTGTATGGCTTAAAAACCACCTTGAGCAAATCGACGAAATTCTTCTTGATCTAATGTACCATCGTTATTACTATCAGCTTGTCTAAAGGCAGCGGCCGCTGCGTCAACGCCACCTGATCCGTACGCGTCTGCAGTACTTCCGAAGCTTTGAGCTTCAAATCCCGATGCTCCAGACGCTATACCACCTCCATATCCATAACTCTCAGATGATGATTGATAACCCGATCCCCCCCCGTAAGCGCCAGCGCCTTCGATGCCACCTTGTAAGGCATAAGCGGCACTTGAATATCCTAGAAGAAAATAATAAACAAATTATTGTTTCGAACAATTTGGACTTTCCTTTAAGCTAACCTCCACTAGCTCCCGATTGATCATATACTCCTGACGACGCTAAATCATAACCTCCCGCTTCCTGGATTCCGCCTTGGTAAGCACCGCCTGATTGAAAAGTTTGTAAACTTGATGATCCAAAGGCAGCTCCTGCTGGTGGCGACTAAAACATGTGGGAGAAGAGATAATAATATAGTTATATTCTTGAATCGTGTTACGAAACACCTACAATATCTTCTACAACACCAGCTTGTCTTGCATGTGAAACGAGTTGACTTGAGTCTTCTAAACTTGCACCATAACGAGCAAGGTATTCTCGAGGATCGGCAGCTTGTACACCAAGATTTCTGAATTCACGAACGACTTGAGCACGAGGTGCTTCATAACTAATAGAGAGGACATATATTCAAAAGTAGAGAATACAGAAGACTTAACATCATACGTACTGAATGATGATATTTCGTGGCTTTTGTTGTTTAACGGGTGGAGCACGTTGTACGATAACACGACGTTTTTGTGTTACACGGTATGGCAACCAACGCTCAACAATAACATCACGAGGTTTTGGTGGAAGAGGTGGAAGACGTTCGATAATCACAGAGCGTGGCGGAACTGGTAAAGCTGGGAGCATTTTTGTGACAACTAAAAAGACATGAAAACTATTTTTTACACATACTAAATCAGAAGAAGCCACAATTGCATTAATTACCTTGCGATGGGAGAGCTGGTGGTGGTCGTGGTGGATTCTCTCGGATAACAATAGGTGGAAGAACTGGTGGTGGTGGAGGACGTTGACCTTTTCGAAACGAAATACATTTATCCCTTAGATCAAATCTTGTTTATGATCATTAACACTTACGAATGTAAAGAGGCGGAGGAGGAGGTGGTTGTGGTGGTCTAACCTCTTTGATGATAAGAGGCTGTAAGAGGTAAAAACACATTTTTTAACTTTGAAGCACATAATTGCTACTAATGTTAAACTTACACCTGGTGGCGGGACAGGTGGTGGCTGTAAAAATTTAACAAGAATATTTTGTTGATATGTCACTGGTCCACTGGCTGCTGGACGACGTATTATTTGAGGATTAGGATCATTAAAAACTCCGCCAGCAGATGAGCCATATGCAGAAGATGATGATGCTTGGTCGTAACTTGCACCATAAGAACCAGCACCAGCAAGGCTCCCGCCATAGGAACCAGCTGCAGCAAGATTTCCGCCAGCACTTAAGCTCGCATCAAATCCTGATCCATACTGTGATGCATCCCCTTGGAAACTTGAATATCCAGCAGATCCTGATAAGCCATAAGCATTTGCTCCTCCTTGTCCACCTGCCCAACGTTGAAATTCAGAAGCATCAAGAGAACCATCCTGATTTGTGTCGGCTTGAGCGAACATGGCTCTGGTCGCATCAAATCCACCGCTACCAAATGAAGCACCACCACCATATGCAGCGGCGTTGTCGAGGCTATCTGAAAAAATAGGAGATCGAAATATATTTACAATAAATAATATAGTTTTGTCTAAAAATAGTATTCTTGTTATCGTTGAAACAGAGCAAAACGTATTTCTAAGCAAATAAAATCTTACGTCTGTCAAAGTAATGAATGGTACAGTTAAAATTAGTTATTAATTAGTAACTACTATAATTATATTAAACATATATACTTACTACCACCATCACTGCTACTACTACTTTGATAAAATTGCTGTGACGAATATGACATGACTATAAGACTATATCTAGTTGTTTATCGTACGTTTAACTAATACAGTATGAAAGCATTGTATTTATAAAATCGCTCTTTTTAAGCTTAACTACCGCATCTTACAATAATGCAACAAGAAAAAACATGATGCGCAGCCGGGTGTGGAAATTTTTTTTTGTGTAGGCAAACATTGTATTCACACAATACAAATGTGTACACTTCACTAGTATATTTAACAATCATGGACAAATATTTTTTCATTCATAATGTATTCTTCTTTTAATAAATATCATTGAAGAAGGAGAAGAAAGAAAACAGGTAATAATTACAAGAATAAAAGAAGAAAAAAAATTGTATCTTTCTTCGCGAAAAGATATGCGCGTCCGAAGGAATCTTCACTTCAATCATTCATACACAGACGTCCATGAAAATAAAACGTAATCAAGAAGGAGATGAAAATTCTTGTAGATGTTTTAGGCGCCAAGGGTCGACTGATATCTACGAAACTTGACATTTTTTTTTTATTTTAATAATACATTGCTAAAAAAACTCTATGCATTACAATCTCGTGTTTATTTACTTGGCATTCACTGAAAAGTGAATTTATCCACTGTTTATGCACAGTGTATGCATTAGGCGGCATTCACTACTATTGTGGTATGCACTGCGCATGAGCTACATCATTCATAGACCATTTACTTGTTATTTATGCATGATAAATTGACAAGTAAATGGTCTATGAATGATGTAGCTCATGCGCAGTGCATACCACAATAGTAGTGAATGCCGCCTAATGCATACACTGTGCATAAACAGTGGATAAATTCACTATCAGTACATGACAAATAAATAAACGCGATATTTTAGTGCATCGAACTTTTTTTACAATGTCGATCCTGATATTAATTTTTCGTACTTTATTTTACTCTGATCAAAGAATCTATTCTACTACACACCATTCCAAATAATATGTTTATCACCAATGGTTAAGATTCATCAGTCAATTTGCTACAGCAATATTTTTCAATCTGATAAAACACACGTGCTTAGATTATGTTGATGGCCAAAAATTGCACTTTGCGGTTTTAGTAGATATATTTTATCTAATTAAGCTATCTTTTTCATTCCTCTAATATAACCATATGCTAAAAAAAATTATTCATTTGTCCTTTAACATATTTGTTGATAATGTTTAATTGACAAATGTGTACGTTTTTTTGGCATAACTTTTATTTTTATTTTTTCTTATTCTTTTATCTAGTGCTTTTTGTTGTTAATCTATAATACTGATCATCTGTTAGAATGACATCTAAATAATATCTATATATAGATATGCTTCTCTCGTCCTTTCTATCTATATTAATCTATATAGTAATAAAAAAACAAATAATAACATTTGAAAAAATGTAACAGTTTCATAATTTTTTTCCTAATCATATCTGATAATTTTTCTCCGAATCAAGATGAGGTTTGTTAAAAAGCCTTGTTTTCAAGATTTTTTAAGGAATACACATTTATTATTTTGTAAACGTGTATTTAACAATCAAAATGACATTTGTATTTTCAAGTAGAAGAGCATGTTTCTAAATAAGAATCTGTAGTTCTTCATGAACTGTTGGCTTATTGTGTTATTGTATCTAGTAGGGTCCTACCGTTGGTATGGTATCATTACTAGACTGTTGTTCGTTCAAATTTTTGTTCAGAAACTGGCTTCGCTCAAGATTACAGAATAAATAAATAGTTTCAAATAACTCCTCGTCCTTTTATTTATATATATTTTTGTCCATGTATACCTTTACGTATACAGTATACAGGTAAGTAATGAAAATATTTTAAATTCAAGGTAAACAGCGTATGTCTCTTAGCAAGGGAATATAAAAAGGATACATTGCCAGCAGAGAATAAAATTATTTGCCATCCTTAGGAATCAAAATTAATAAATTATTAACCTATAGTGAGATAAATTTATTTAATCAAGAGATTGTACAAAAAATTGTACTTTTCTCTAATAAAAGAAGCTCTTCAAATATCACTTCGATTTTCCCTCAAAACCTAATTGATTGCAGATAATTTATGCTGCTATATGTTTGTCCCCCATCGGACCTTTCAAAATCTCTGTTTAAATTTTCGTAATCTCTGAAAAACCCATTAGGAATTTACATCTGCACAAATTCTCTTGATGTCAGATTGTAGAGCACATCAAGTTTCATATGGGCACAACTTATTGGAACTAATCAACACGTTTTTATCGCGTTATACTTTACTAGTCAACAAAAAACCATCAAAAACATTTTGAATTATCGAAAACTTACTTTTTCACACTTATCGAATATGTCAAATCTCACAGTTTCTTCAGTTATTCAAAATTTATCTATTGTCTTTTTCAACAGGAATTTTATTTCTTACGGAGACCTGCTATTTCAAATTTAAGAAAATTCAATATTTGATGATTTAAAATTTAATTTAAAAGTCAGACGTTCTCTACTGTAAAAATTTTTTTTCAAAATGATCTTCTAAGTATGGTTTATTTCACTGGAAAAATTTAATTAACTTTATTTTGTAAATTAAGGTTTTCTTTGCTCTTCGATTGTAAATTCCATTCGCACAGAGCTCAAAGTTTTCTGACATGGAAAGCGGAAAGGGCGTTTTTAAAATCTCTAAAAGTCTCAGATTTAGTTCAATCGGCTCGCGCGTTAACGTTTAATTTTCTCATGATACATAGCTTCATTTCGTGAGTCCTATTTTATGCTTGTAGCGGCTACCCCACGTTAATATGCTCTTCATAACAGTTACGGTTCATTACAAATCTTCTCCCTCCCTCAGTAAAATACTGAAAAAGTTCTTTAGTTTCATTTAGAACAAAAATACTGCCATGAAACTAAGATATAAAATTGTTCATAAACAGTTCGTGTCATTCTTTCACAATAAAATTTGATGAAGTAAGTGAATCACAATAAAGTTGCCTGTAAGCGATATGAACCAAATAAATAACTTTTTACTCGATCCACTAAGGTTGAAATTAGCATCCGCGAGTTTCAAATTAAAATTTCGCAATGGTTTTGATATATGTTTTAGTTTCATGCATATTTGACAGCACAATTGTTTAATATACAAACTTCTAGTATCAAAATCAGTAGCCGTTCCACATATCGGTTCATCTTGACAATGTATCGCACTATAAGTTTCACATATGAGTGGATATTGTTGATCAATATTACTCGACATCAGTTTATTCACATTCGGCTTAAGACAATATAACTTTAAATCTAACACTGTATTATATTCGTTCTTATTTAAGTTGCTGAGAATACTTTCATTTACACACAGCTCTTTATAACAAATACGATTTTGACCACAGAATGATCCGGGTAATAGTGGCGTGGAACCATAGATAAATGCTTGAGAAGATACGAAAATGTTATGATTATGAGCAATTGCATTCAATATAGTAGTCACTTACATCCTCCTACAGATTGAAAACATATGGGATGTAAGCAACTAGATTCATCGGACGATGAGCCATAAAACCATGCAGAATTTTCTCCAACATATGAATTCTTATTTTTTTCTATCATTTTACATTGTTGATGATTTGATATTCTTTCACCGGGTCTTAAAACATCTTTATTTTTCAGCGGTCTATAACCATTTGGTTGATTAAATAAACACGAATATTTACAAATATTTTCGTTGATAATGTTATTCTCACATTCCGTCCAACGAGCTAAATTGTAGGAATTCATATGAGTATTAGTCATAACAGACATGTGGGCATCAGTAAAGCCTAAAACATAGAAATAATTATATTATATCAATTACTCATAAGACGATGCATGGGGAAGATCGATGACGAACACTAAGATAGCACCGAATATCTATCAACTATAGAAAATCTAAACTGATTGTTAATAAGTAAATCGGTTACATGTTGTGTTTATCTGATGCTTTAAACCTAGTTGATGACCGATCTCATGCGCTAAATACTAGTAAAGAAGAAAAAACATTATTGATACATTCATCAACGGCGGTCTAAAATCTCACCATTCCGGCATTCTGATAGGGTGCCAAATACATAATTTTATGTTTACGATCACAAATTCCTCCCATCATTGCATATCCTTGCGCTGCATATTTGTCCCATGTTTCATAGCGTAATAAAACAATCGAATCATAAACATCATATTCGGGTGTATTAAAATATTTTTCAAAATAAAGCTGACCAGGATCGCCATCATACGGTATTGTTATATGGTCCATATACTTAATCTTTGAGTTGATAAGTTCAACTTTGATATCAAGATCATTTCGAGACTGAAATATCTTTAAAATAAAAAATTTATTTTTATTTTCTAACTTTTCTAACCACTTTCGAGATTAAGCCAAACTGGTCAATATACCAAAGTGATCATATTAGACAAGTTCAGTTATGAACCCTAAAAAAACGGTCGGTATTTCGAAATGGGCTCCCCAGTGAAGTCGGCACAGTGAAAAGTTCCACTGTGAACAGTTTTATGAAATCATTTTAATGCAGATTGAGACTATGTTACAGATTCACTCAAAGAACAATGTTGATCCTGTATTCGTCCCTTATTTTAATCCATTATAAAATATTTCATTCTGATGGTTCAAAAGTTGCATAGCTTACTATATTTGCACTGTCAACAACTACTTGAACATAATCTTGATAGCTTATGTCTGAAAGTGGAGGAAAATAATCTTTATCGATGACAAATAAAAGTTCAATAAATGCATAGTAACGATCACTTTGAACCACAGTTATTATATATAAACATTGTAGAATATGAACGAGAATGTTTAACATCAGAATATAGAATGAACTAAATTTAATTTAGAACTTTTAATTATTTTGAACGTAATTTTTGTAAATTCAAACCAGTAAATAGGAATTCTAATGTAAACTAGGCGGGAAAAATTTATAAACACAATTATCTTTATCAAGATTTTCTTCCACAGATTGTATCGTTGAGAAGCAAGAATTAAGTTTTAACCATAGTAAAACAGGATAGAGGGAGTTTAACCTATTCGCGCGTGTAAACAACGGTTATGAAAAAAAATTTGCATGCAATTTATTTCTAGACGTAGACAGGGATTTTCGTTTAAAAATCCGAAATTTAATGATTTGTTATGGTGTTATTTTCTTTCTAACGCATGTCCCTGATTCAATTACCAACACAGTTTTCTTTTTCTCGCTCCCAAATCCAAAATTTGCTGTGTATGGAAAAGTTTTCTTTAAACGGTTAATTTCGCCAGGTAGCAATATATTAATACTAGAGGTGTGAATCAATCGAAAAATGTTGACGGCAGCGACTTGTTGAAAAACTTTTTTCGTTAACGGCGTTACGTGCCCTTCGCTGTCTACCATCTCTCTAATGAATACAAATTGAAGCTGATATTTTTATTTAGTTTTTTCCATTTTTCATGCTAAGAGAAAACTAACAGACAATACGTACATGACTGACAAATCCTAGTTAATACGCAGAACAACAGTAAAAAAAAATGGAACAAGTTTCTGTTAAACGTTTGCACAATAAATAATAATCACATAAATAAACTGAACAAAAAGAACCACAGACGTTTTAGTATTAAGAGTAAAAAAAGAATTAATTTGTAAATAGACGTAGAAAAACAGTAAAAAAAGAACAAGATGGTAATAACAAAGCGTTTTTGAAATAAAACATCACCGAACTTTCTAATCATATTTTTTGAATTCCATTCCATCTGGTGCTTGTAATTCAACCTTTTTTTTGCTGACTTCATTCCAATCCATGGATAAAACCGTACCACCTGATTCAGAATAGGATTTATTCATTGCACGCTTTGTTTCATCTGATGCGTCTTTATAAAGTTGAGAGAATATTCTAGAAAAATAAGTTATAAACAAGAGTAAACACTATTACATAAAATATTAAAAATGATTTCTCACGAATTAGCATCGACTTCTTCTTTATTTTCTTTTTCATCTTTTGCAATTTCTGCTTCAACTTTATTCCAATCTTTACGATATAAACTTGATGATGGATACGATGTTTTTTCACCAGTAGTCGATTTATTCATAATAGCTGAAATGAATTACTAAAAATTAATGGTTGTGTGACTTTACAGTGAAGGACATAAAAACCTGGCGGTTGTTGTGGCTTATTTTTGGCATCGAGTGTCATCCATTGAATAGCATCTTTTTTGAACAATTTTATTTCGATCTAGAGCAAAGATTGTTTGCTTGTCAAAATAAGTGTAAAAGAAGAAATAACATTCATACTTTAAATGCTGTGACTGTAAATTCTGTTCGCTTATCATCAATAGGATAAGCAAGATTGACTTCAAGTGAATAATCATTTCCTGATGGCAATTTTGCACTAACATTTAACTATAATGAAAGAAAAGACATGAAAACATGGTTTTTTCAGCAATCATGTATAAAGATACCGTTTTCTCACTTGTCTGAACATGCACTTCTTCTTTTCTCATATTTTTTAACGGAATCGTAATAATAACGTTTGTCGGTGTTTGATAAAAATCATGTCTATGAAAACGTAAAATAAAACATATTTACTCATCTTGATCATATTATACAATCCTACTTTTTAACATACTTTATTTTGGGAGTAGTCGCAATAACTGAAGCAGCTACATTCTGAGTTTGTGCACCGTTTTCAGCAGTTTTTTGTACTTCACCTAAATAAGCAAAGTTTGAATACGGATATTTTCAAAGTGTGCGTTCACTCACTTGTTACATCAGCCATTGTTAACAAGGCTTTTTCAAACTTTCAGCACAGCAACAAAATAACAGAAGAAGAATTTGCTTACGTTAATGAAGGCGATGCGCTATCTGAAAAAAAGGGTCTGAAACTGTATCAAAATTCATTCATATTCAGGAACACATATTCTTATTCCGTTGACTGTAAAGTGTAGGGTAAATAGTAACGATCATATATAATACTAACGATCACATTCACTCATTAATCACTGAGTGAATATACGTCCGACACACTCATTAATCACTAAGTGTAGGGTCATACGAAATTAAATGCATGTGCGCTTCTACATTTTGTGGCGGTCGTACATACATATAGTCATGTGGCTGTGTGACGGACGTACATCCACTTAGTGATTAATGAGTGTGACGGACGTATCCACTTAGTGATTAAAGAGTGGCGGACGTACAACCAGTTAGTGATTAAAGAGTGTGACGGACGTACATCCACTTAGTGATTAATGAGTGTGACGGACGTACATCCACTTAGTGATTAATGAGTGTGACGGACGTATCCACTTAGTGATTAAAGAGTGTGACGGACGTACATATTTACGCTGAGTAACGGAAGAGCAAATATACTTATTGCCAGATAACGGCCTTAAATATTAACGAGGGAATGTCTTGAGGTTATAAATCGCTTTTGAACGCAGACTACTTTTATCTTGTAGAGCTCAGTGAGTAGTGAAATACCCTAAGTTGATTTGTGCCGATGGTGGTTTGTTGCTGAGATACTCGATTTTTAGTCAGTTTTTGCCTACATGCCTAAAGTGTTGTCATTTTTAATTTAATCATGAAAGTCTAGTTAAAGAATAAAAATCATTTCAAGACAAGAAGGACGTTTCTCCGATGACTAAAAATTCGTTTCCAATACTGGTAGAGAGAAATACAGAACCAGATGCATAATATGATAGATGAAACAGATAAGGTCTCTTCTAACATTCGCTCTCAAATCTTGATGTACACATTCTGACCACTCATAACGAAATCAGAATATCCTCAATCAAACACATGTTTATATCCTATCAACAAAAGATACAAAGAAACAATACAATTAAAAGAAAAACAATAGAATTGAAAGAAGAAAGAAAGATAATTGGGCATAAAGCGGTCAAGTAATAACTTTGTGTAGAATCATAATAACTAACGACATCTATCGAAAAATATAGTTTTTAAATATATTCTTTCACTTCTCGTTTCACCCTATTAGCAAATAGTGCAAACAAGCATTCGATTGAGCCCTAATTTTTACCACAAATATTTCCGATCCGAGCTCAAGTTATAAAGATTTTTTTTCGAAAACTATGTTTTCCTTCTCGAGAAATATTAATTCGAAAAATGTTGCGAACAGCAATGGGCTAGTAGCGTTTTGAACATTACAAGTAACGATAAACCGATCACAGGACATTTGGGCTGATGCTCATATCTCCATGAAAAACAATGTGAAAATATCGAAAATAGTCTTATTGTGAAGAAATTACTGTCTAATAATAGAACTCAAGAATAAAATCACCTTTTTCATGTTGAAATAACTATTTCAAATGAGACGTTTCGTCTTTATTCTAAGGACGTCATCAGTCAACAGAGTTTAGAGTAAACCAGCAGAGTCTAGATCAACAGAGTTTAGAAGAATCAGTTTAGAATAAAGACGAAACGTCTCATTTGAAATAGTTATTTCAACATGAAAAAGGTGATTTTATTCTTGATTTCTATTATAAAATTTTTCACCTTAAACAAAGAATCAAATTACTTTCTCTATCAGAGTGTGGAAAATATTTCTGAAAAAGCTTTTCGCTTCCTTAATTTTGTTTTTCACCTTTACTTAGTGGCGTAACCAGAAGTGAGCTAGACGGGCGCGACCGGCCACCGGGAGAAACAAAAAATAATTATTTCCACTAAGATTTTTGTCGAATAATGTTGAAATAACTATTATTTGTTTATTTATTTCATTTTCTTTTTCTTTTTTGTTCACATAATTTCACTTAATAAAAGTGCAGGTACATTATATTGTCTCTCTATTAAGAAAGTGAGAATTGAGCAGCCGTATTTCAGTTGTTGAAAAAAAGGTCGTGGTGCACTGCCCTACCACCCACGGATTCCTGGTTACGCCACAACCTTTACTGTCTGTTTTAATGCATTGTAACGAGCCGAAATCAGCCTTGTAAAATTCAATTTTAGAATAATTTTAAAGGTCTTCTAAAGAACTCGAAATGTCATCGTTCGATAGGGAATTTAGACAGTATAAATTTAATAGTGAATTGGTTAAATTGTGTATAAAAATGTTAGAATCAAAATTTTCAATTGATATGAGATTTTTTCCAAAATTCATTATCATAGGAAAATCGTATTTTCAGAAATTTCAAAGGCAACAATTTTTCGTTTTCTCAATAGAAATTCAAAGTTTTTCGCAAAAGTTCCATAAAAAGTGGCATGAGAAAAGCGCTTGACGGAGTTCTTTCGCTGTTCAAAAACCGGTTAGATTCCGGTCGAGCAGTATTAAAATGGTAGTATTACCATGATCGGTCCGTCTCACGAATGAAGGTCCCCAAGTGTTAGTGTTCGGTTTCAATGGGATATATACTAGTTTGTAGAACTCGACAAGCTGATCACGATGGCATAAAGCGTTCATCCAGATGCGCTGCAGGTGAAGAGTTAGATCGACTGAACTTTCAAAAAGTCATGCTGCGACGCTGTTTGGGGAACTTCGATTTTGACGATATTGTAGTTTCAAAGTGGTTTAATTCGCACCATGGAATGCGTTGTAGTTGACAGTGAATTGTCAAATGTTAAACTAGTCATACTAAAGAGCTTAAGAATGTGTTTTGAGTAGATTTGGTAAAAGAAAATATTCGCAGAATAATGTATGAAGAAAAAAATAATAAAAGTACAACCCGTTACGATTTTTTTCGGGTTTTATGTGGAAAAAATCATCAAGAAAAGCGTCATAAAAGATGATTGAAGTGAGTAGAAAAGGTTTAACGGATGTTTTCTTTCTTAAATAAAACCTGTTTTTTCCCACATAAAACTTAAAAAAACTTTTTCTTCATATATTATTCTACGAATATTTTCTTTTACCTGAAAAAATAGAGTATTTTGGAACCCCTACAATGAGAGATGGAAAAACAGTTGCACTAAGTTACATGCACTATACATGTGTTGTATATAGACTAGGTAATTGTCGGTACCGGTCCCAACCACTGGAACCGTACCGAAAGTACAGAAGCTTTCGATACTAACTCGGTACCGAAAGTACCAAAGTTTTTTTCCTTATCTAAATCTATTTTGGAACTCACAAGAAGCTTTTCCCACCTTACACGACGAAGACTCCAGTTCCTTGATTTTCGTAAATATCGAATTTTTCAGTACTTTCCCTGGTACCGAATCGAAAGTGCCAAATGATTCGATCTCTAACAGGGTATCGAGCCGAAATTTTCGGTACTGTGCGAAAACAGTATCGGTAACGATACCAAAGTACCGAAAATTCTCCAATATAAACGAACATTTTGGCGAAGCTTGACGCTCTAGAAAATTCCGGAAACTCCTTCTACTAATCACACATGTACGGAAGCTTAGGTAGCTTGGAAAATAAATTTCTTTCTAGAAAATTCTTTCATTAATTTAGCCAAAAAAGACCCTCAATTCACAATCTATGCTGTTTTTTTGTACTTTGTTAGCTTTAATGAGAAACTTATTTTGCTGCGCCCCAATGTGTTTCCAGGCTAGTTTTTGCCTAAGTGTTTTCAGAGGTGGGCAAGTTCCAGTCCGGACTGAGGCTGAGTCCAGACTGATAAGTTTTTTTAACCGGACTGAGACTGGACTAGGACGAAGGCATGACTGATTTTTCAGATCCTTCAACTTTTGGATTCCAGTGTAGAGAAAAGTCTTTGATATAGGCGTTTACGAAAGTGTCATTTTGGTAAAAAGGTACAAGACAAAATGTATGATCATAGGAGTGAACAGGAAAAAATTTCTGGTTCAGACTGACCTTGGACTAACGCTTATAGGGCTGAAAATATCATGGCTATCCAGTCATATGGGAAGTTTCGGATTACCAGATAGTCATGGCAAAGAAGCTGAAACTAAGAAAAACATGATCAGAAATATTTATTAAACATTGAATTTAAATGTATTCAATTTCTGTTGAGAAAACCAAGAACTATTGCGTTTTTAGTTTTTAAAAGCACATTTTTCTTTTGATACTGAGTTTGTGAGAAAACCCCAACAGACAAAATTTTGCTCCTTTCAAGTCTAAATACGTTCAAAAAGATTTATTTATGCTAAGTCAAGTAGAATAAAAAGCTCCCTTAAAAAAATACAAGTGTATGCAGAATTATTCATATGTATAAATTAATGACTGGCACACATGTTAGTTTACTGTTTTAATTATATATTATACAACGAGTGGCTGATTTTGGTTGTTATTAGTGTAGTTCGATTTTTTATGGCATAATTTGTTTTTTTTCGTTTATTAACTGTTTGAGTAAGTTTCAAAGAATAATATGACATATTTGAACAAAAAACGAAATAATAGTAAAAGAAAAATAAATTTGTCCACTGTAAATTCGTTCTTTGTTATTGTCTACTTTTATTTTTCTTATATTCACATAAAATAATATTGGGCCGCAGGTTTCTTGTTTGAGAAGCTGTGAATATTACAAAATGTAACGGACTCACTCTATCTTTGTAGGGTTATGTGTGGGCAGACCGATATCAAGTGCAGCACAGCAATTTTGAATCAAATTAGAACTTTACTCTAGCAATAAAAACTTAACTAAGCTATAACGAGCTAAAACAGATTGTATACGGTGATGGATTAAATTAATAAAATGTATTATACTATTGAACAATGAGTGTTTTGTCGACGTCGTTGCTTTACTCTAATCATAGATCATAACCATTCAATCTTTGTTAATTACAAGAATGTAAAAGGTATAAAATTATTCGACTAAAACAACTAAATATATTAGTTTTGTTGGCCAAATTTTAAAGCTATTTTCTCTTTTAATTCTTTAATGACAAATGTTAATTGCAAACAATTAATAACTCGTCAAGTGATTGACATAAACTCATTATATGTTTATTAACATTTTAGTGAGACAATCCAATGATTTTAATAATGATGAATATTATTCCAGATATTCATCTTTTAGTTTCTCATAGCTTGTACGAAATGATGACTGTACGTACGAAATTGTAATAATCACTTACAGCTAGGAAGCATATCTCGATCCCGATATAGAGCATGCGTCTCTACTAACTCATAGATTGCAAGAGAATAGTTGTAGAATGAGAATCAATGAATAAACGTGTATAACGGCAAAATGATACTATCCAGATAGTTCCCTTTTTTTAGCAAAAATGTAATAAGATCCTGACGTTGTTTCAAAATAACTTCAGAATAGCGTAAAAAGAAATAATAAAGGATTTTCGAAGATAAAGGACTTAGATATCAGATAAAACAATAAAATAAGCATAATGTATACTCTATTGCCATGTAAAAATTGCATAAAACTAGGAAGGAACTATTTCATCTATCTGGTTAATCATCAAGACAGGTGTTTGAAATCATAATATTTATTTGCAAATGATATTTATTCAATTGAATTTAACATGTACATATACAGCCAAAGAGCGCATGAATGAGAGTAAAAAAAACAGAAAAGGATAGACTATTGTATTTTTTGTTTCAAAACCTCTATTGTATAATAGTAAAAAAGAGGAAGGAAAACAACAACAAAACACAGCCAAATATTATCTTATCAGCCATATACCGTCAATGAACATATAAAACCTAAACCAAATTTCATATGTTGAAGTCTAGATTAAATAGAAGATACAAATAAAATCTAAAAAGATTAATATGTGTGTGTACGCACACACATGAGACTCAACAACATCAGAGGAGAGAACAAAACTAATTTATTAACTGTTCAAAAAGGTTAGGAAGAAAGATCGTGTATGTGTAATGTGTGTGAGTATGTATAAAAATCTCAAACACGATGATGGCTTATTCTGTTTGAAAAAACAAAGAATAATAGGCAAATATCTAACATTCTGTATTAAATCATTCTAATGTTTGAAAAAACGAAGCAAAGCATGAGAAAACATAATAATAGAGATCACCGTTAAACAAAAACAAGGTTACACAGAATTTTATATAAAATGAAACGAATACTTAAAATACATATATTCTGACTTGTTCGCTAGGCGAAAAGAAATCTTCTCAATTGCCTTGCCTGCCAGAGGGAAGAAAAAAGAAAAAAAACAAATTCATACGCACACAAATAAATAGCTAATTTGTGTTCATTTTACATTTGTCTATATTGCAAAAAAGAAAAATAGAAAAGGCAAGCACAAAAGTTAATAACAAATAAAAATTCCCTTCTACGAAATTGTAAAAGATACAAAAAGAGAGAGAGAGAGAGAGAGAAAGATGTAAATGCAAATGCAAATAATACGCGCATATGTTTTATAAAATTCATTTAAAAAAATGAGAAAAGGTATATTTGTCAGCGTGAGTTGTTGCACATGAAAGCTGAATAGACAAGTTTTGAATGTGGAAATTAACCTTGATCACCATTTTCTTTTCACTCAGTCAAATCTAAAATAAATAAATAAATAAATACTCTTTTTTTTAAAAATGTAGTTTCTCTGACATCATTTATGGCTAACAAAAACCCATTTGAAGAATAATCTATCTATTTGTTAGCTTTTTAAACAATAAAAGACGTTCAAACGTGAAAATATGATAACATCGATCGTTTCAAGACAAAGTTATGACATCTTCTTAATCCCTTTCATCCGACTGTTTTCAAAACACCAGAAAAAATGTTAATATATAGCAGCACCCGAAAAACTATAAAAAATCAACTACCTAATTACGGTTCTGCAGAGTGATCACCACCGCGAATGGTTGGAATTGGTGTTGATGTAATAGTTGAAGGATTCTGACCCGCACGTATTGGTTTCACTAGAAATATACAAAAATATATAGAAAAAATAAACTGGCAGACCTTTTTTTTGTAACGTACCAATTTGTGCTGTGTTTGTTCGACGTGCAAGATTACGCTGTCTAACGGCTTCTTTAATACGATCGACTTCGCATTGATAACGTTTACGATCTTTCATTGCACTTTCTTTCGCTTCTTTTAACGCTTGTTCTAACGACTTAACGCGATCCATTGTAGCTTTAAGACGTTTCTCTAATTTCGGTAATTCACAACGTAAATCGGCATTTTCGCGAACAAGCTAAACAAATAGAGAAGAACAATCAGTGTATTCACTTATCATACATGCAAATGCAAAAAGGTAACAAACCTGTTTATGAACTTTTGTCAATTGATCGAGATTATTTTCTAAAAATGATATTTTTTGTTTTTGCGCAGCACTACCACCAAGATCATCCTCTTCTGCCTCAGGCTGTTTTTGTGACTGAAAGAAAAAATATATATAATAAAGTTAAAGTCCAACTAATTGATAGTTTTCATCGAACCTTTTTCAAACGTGCTTGCAAATCTTGTACGAACAACTTTCGTAAATTATGTAAAGTTTGTAATTCTTTTGCTACTGTTTCTTCCAGACCTTTCAAGTCTTGCTTGGCTTGTTCACGTCGTTCTTGTTGTAAACTACAGAAAAGAAAAATATATTAGTATGTCTTTTATACATGGACAAGTCTCTTTCACATACGTCATCTCTTGTAATTTGCTTGATTTTTCATTCTCTTCTTTTTTCAATTTGTCAAAATCGCCTGTCAATTTTTCATACGATAGTTGTAGTTTTTGTAGTGTACTGAAATATAAAAGAGGAAATAAATTGGCAGAGCTTAAAAGAAAAAAATACATACTCTTTCAATATTTCCATCTGAGATTCTTTTGAACGTATTTCATCTCTTAACGTTGTCAATTGTTTTTGATGTTGTCCGCTAATTTGTTCCATTTGTTGATTGAGTTCTTTTTGAACATCGGATGTTGAACCACCAGTGCCAATAACAACACCATGCGCTCGTAATTTAACTAATTCTTCATTAATTGTATCATGTGTACGTTCTAAATTTCGTTTTTTCTCTTCCAATTCTTTCATTGTTTCTAACATTGAACGCATTTTTGCTTCATGTTGTTGTATAAGTAAACGTGATTCATCCAATTCTTTATCTTTAAACTCAATTCCTTTTTGATGATTGACTTTTTCCACTTCTAAATCAGTTAAACGCTAAATAAAGAAAACCAAGTATATAACCATAAATTGTAAATCGATGTTTTGTGTCGCTTACTCCAGTGACAGTGCGTGCTTCTGTTTTCAATTTACTCATATACAATCGAGCAAGCGTAAATTCTTCCTCAGCTTGATCAAGATTTTCAATTGTTGGTTTCTAAATAAAAGAATGTTGATGTTAGTTTTAACTCATGCTCTTTTCCTCCTCTAGTATTTCACTTACTTTTTGTTCATTCATCTGTCCGCCCATGACACTGCCAATATCGCCAACATCACGCAATAATACAAGAATCATATCAAGAAAACGTTTACGTTGTGCTTGCGATGCTTCACGAAGACTCTCAAGCTCTTCACGTATACCATTTAATGATGTCTGTTTTAATGAAAAAAAACATTTTCTTTTCTTTCAAGAAATTTTTTTTATTATACATACTAATTTTGCATCTAGTTCTTGTCCTAAATTTTCATTTTCTTTACTCTTCGTTTCAAGCTCTTGTGTTTTTTGATCATAATTGACAGCCAATTCTTCTAATGCTTGTAATACTTCTTTGACTTCTTCTTTTGACGATTCACTTTCTTGTTGTAAACGATTTAATTCGGCTTGTAAATTTTCATTATCTTTTCTACAAATGAAAATTATAAATATATGTTTATGACTAAAATATTTTTAATAAGGAGTTTTCGATGAAATTTTAAAGGATAATTACTTTGCTTGGTTAAAGCCTTCATCTTGTTCAGTCAATTGTAATTTAAGGCGTTCGATTAATTGTGATTGGTTGTTGATTTCATCGTCCTACGACAAAAATATTGAATATCTCAAGATTGTTAGTCATTCAAATATCTTGTCTATTCACCTTCTCATCTAATTGTTGATACAACGTTGTTCGTTCTTTATCCCACTCTTCTATGTTAGCGGCGAGAACTGGAACCACTGAGCCAGTTGCTGCAACAGACGCAGCACTTGCAGCAAGTATTCCAACGGTTGGTGTTGTTAAAGCAGCTGCTGAAGCTAACGATGACATGGATTGTGTCGACGAAATTGCTAATAATGACTCATCAGTTTCAAGTAAATTCACTTGTTCATCTTTGGTCACAGTTTCGCCTAATAGATATATCAAAAGTTTTTCTTTTAACAAATGCTTTTTTTTTAGCAAACTCAGTGCTACATACCCCGTCTCCATCGTTCTAATTCAGCGTCTGCTCGACTAAGCTGTCCTTTGAGACGAGCTACCTTTTCACGTTCTTTTTCAAAACGACGTTTCCATTCTTCAGCTGTCAATTCTTCATTAACCATAACGGAATTTTTTATGCATTTAGCCCTAAAACAAATATACGCGAATTAAGCTTATTATACAACAATATTTATCGTACCGTTTTCCAAATTCGAGTGTTGATTTTGTTTCTGATTCATTAAAACTAGCTGGCGAGCAACAAATAATTATTGTTGTACGTGCATTACCGCCCAACGATTCTTGTAGTATTCGAGTTAATTTTGAATCACGATAAGGTACATGAGATTTCTGAAAACACATGAATATAACAAATGAAATCGAACAGATAAGTATAAATTACCGTTCCATCGGCTAATGCTGATATAACGTTTCCAAGTGCGGATAAGGATTTATTAATATTTTTCGCTTCATCCAACACCTGTCCTTCGGCACCAGTTTTTGATACCTAAACAAAACAGCAGTGCAATATCATCAGCGCTATGAAGCATATGCGATAAATTACTTTTTCACTACCAGCCAGATCAACTAAATAGAGTTTTCCTGTTAATTTTTTCTCTGTTTCCACATTTTCTTGTTTGACATTGATTAAGAAAACAGAATGTGAGCGAGAACTATGCTCATTCATATCTATTAAATGAAGAAAGATAGTGTTATTTATCTTAAAGCGCTTTTAAATTCGTACTTGTCACGGCTATATGACGATTTGTTTTTCCATCTTCAATTGTTTCAAAGACTTCTTCAGGTGACGAGACGAAACGCTCAGTGACTCCCTACAACGAAAAAGAGATATAATACTCTGAAAGGATAAAATATCATTTTTTTTCTGCTTACCTTGACGTATGGAACTCTGTTTTTATCTTCATGAACAGCAAGATTAGTTTTTGACACTAAAATAGAGCAAAAATAACGATACAGTAAAATCGGTTTGTATATGATATGTCTTACACTTACCGTCTAATAAGTCACGAATCTTATCAAGATATATTTCGAAATAAGAAACCTATAAAATATAAACGTGACTTTTGAACACAGCTATTGAACACGATCGAATTACATACTTTTATTTGAAACTGAAGATTCGAATCCAACGTGTAAATATGATTAAATATATCTTGAACAATTCTTGGAATTATACCTTGTTCATTCTCTTTGTTTAACACACCCTTTACAAGAAAATGAAAAGTGACTAGTATTTGTAGATAAATCTTATGAACAATCTGAACCATACCTCCATTGTATGTGTTTTCCCGCTGGATGTTTGTCCATAAGCGAATATTGTCCCATTGTATCCACTCAATACATCTTTGACAATTTCTTTAGCAGCTTCATTGTACACTTTTTCTTGAGTAGCGTCAGACCGAAATACTTTGTCAAATACATAAACTTTGCCCTAAAAAAGATTTTCAAAACTAACTTTAAATCTGATAGCACTGCTTTTGTAGATGCCACATACACTTATAAGAACGGTTTCATCTTGATCAGTTGGAAACTTCACAACATTTTTACTTCCGGCACGTTCTTCTGAATCATTTAACGGACGAAAACGACATACAACTCTAATGCTACATTCATCTGCAGCCATTACGATCTGTTACTGGGTAGGAAGAAATGAAAAATAAACGAAATCTAGGAATAACAGGAAAGTATCTCTGCTAAATATTAACACAAATAACGGTTCTAAAAAGTAAAAGTTTAGAAGAACAATCAAAAATTTATTAAAGCAGCATAACTGATCTTTTAAAAGTAGCACAGAACGGGCAAATATTAGAGCAAGAAATCATAAATGTTCTTTTTATTTCACAGCTGGCGATCATCGTGGCTCTCATCGAAAATCAATCATTATATATACGATGACTAATACTACTCCATCTTATTGTCACTAGGTACACCTTAAAAATATTTTGTAAATAAATTTAGTTTTCTAGTTGCATTTATAAAGCTGTTCAAACGCCAATAAATGCTGGACACCGATATTTTATGAATTCTGGCGTGGATAAATGGGGGAAATTATTTCGGTGATGGCGCTAGTTGCTAACGGTAACGTAAAAGACGCATCTTATCATGAGAGAAAACTCCTATCTCACTTCTATACGGTCAAAAGTGATTTTGTTAATATTCAGACGTTAAGTGTCGCAATCATCTACCTTGACATTTCTAAACTATCTTATGGCAGGTTAAGAGAAAAGTTCTGAAAGCGGTATAAGGGTGATAACGGTGATCAGAAGTCTTAAATGCTTGAGAGTTTATCCTATTTAATTCCTATTGAAAGTATTTTTTGACGTTCTCGTTTTCCTTCCACAACGGAAAATGCAAAAGAAACGATCTCCACTCGGCGATTAGTTCTAACATTTGTTTTCTTATGTTGTTATTTAAGCAGATTAAAGATGTGCTTATTTTACGTAAGTTTTCTATATCTCGAAAAGAAATTCATTGGATGAAGTTTCAGAAATATTCTAAGAATTAAATAAGATTTCGTTTCGTGTTTTTATTTCTTAGAATCTATTAGAATTACCGAGATCTTCCCCAAAACAGCGCACTTTGCAGTGTAGAATAGCAAGTATATCGGGCGAAAAAGCACCACATTTTTTATCTGCTATGCTAGAAAAAAATCTCGATTACTGATTTAGAAACGACATTTCAGTTAAAAACTTTAAAGGATAAACATTCTTTCTAAAGTATTTTAATTAGTAAAATCTGTAACGGTTTAGGGTCGAAGATGTCTTCATCAGACTACATTTATACACACAAATGCGAAAAGAAAGGCAGTATTTATTATTATGTATAATATCATGACATATAGAGAAAAATTATCAACAAAAGGAGAAAGAGAAAGATTTCAAAAATATAATAAGTTTCAGGGACTTCTTAACACATATACAACAACTTAGAAAGTGGAATGAAAGACGGAAATACCGGAAACAAGGAAGAAAAAGTACATTGTAAAATATACAGTGGCTCGAAAAATTATTCATCCACCTTTGGTTTTAATTTTTCTCTTCAATCATAATAGCTAGAACAAATTTGAAAAAAGATTTGAGCAGCTGAAAGAATGTTCAATCTGGTGTGGTGTATATAAATGTTCCATCAAAATTACTGAAGCAAGGATTTTTAGAAAATCCAAATCTCAGAAAAACGTTTCCCGAATTGGATCGAGAATTTATTTTTAAATAACTTTTTCGTATATCACAAACATTTCTGAACAAAATGAGAGGTTTTCGAGCTGCCTATGACATTTCTTCATAAAACAGCACGAAAGATATCAGCAGCAGATCCAGCCATCGTGTGGTACGTGCGTTCGCACGTATCTTTCGAGCATAAAGCAATTTTTTTCTCAGCAGAAAAATTTTTTTTCAATTTCAATTTTAATAAAATTTTTAATAAAAATAATAAAAAATTAAAAAGATTAAAACTAGGCGTCAAAATTACAATTCAATATTTGACCTGTTAATACGGTCATTTTCAAATTTCTCTTTCTACAGAATGTTACATAAAAATGGAAAAAAATACAACTGACTATATATAACTAGTGTTTTTTCCGTTTTTAATTCAGGCACACACTATCATAGAAGACTATATGGAGAAATTCGGTTAAATGTAATTTCTATTTTTTTTTAATTTTTTTTCTTAACAAAAAGAATAGATAAGAGATGATGAAGAAGATTGTATAGATGTTGATAAGGGGATGAGGATTATACTATACTAACCACCAGAACCTTACTTAGGAATTCTTTTATCCCCCAAACTTGATTTTACCCCTTCAGAATACACATACAGTGGTACTGAACGATCCGTACTATTAAGCATGGGTAAACTAGCCCGAATAACTAACGATTCCTTAACCAGCAATTTATACCTTTGTTTTTCTTGTAACACAATTTCAAAGTTATTATCTGTAATTATATGTCTAGTATTAGAGTAATGTTTCCCGATAGCTGATTTTGCAACATAAACTGAGTGATTTTTTATTTTATTTTTTATACAGCAGAGTTGCTCAACAGTTTCTTCAATTATACTTTGTTCAAGGGTTGTAGTTGTTCGAAGTTTAGGTAGACAGCCTGTTTGTAATCGAGTAACACAGCGTGACACTGTTACTCATTGTGAAAAGCTACTAGTGTTTTTGCGTGATGAAATTCATTATAAATACACACTGTCACGTAGAACACATAGACAACATCTTGATGCCTGTGATGAATTAAGAAATTCCGTTAGTTATTTGGTGTTCCAAAAACTTCTCCAGGTGATAAAATTAAAAACTGCTGATGAGTCAAAATTGGTTGAAGAGAGACACCGTAAGAAATTACATAATTACATGGACATTGGTGGTGAAGATCAAGTCGGCAGTTATACGAACCTGAATATAGACAAAATAGTGAGGAACTTGTCGAGTAGGGCGTTGACGGGAGAGGAGAAGGAATGTCTTGCTCGAGGATTGAATTTTGGTCTTATATGCCAACAGATGGAGATGAAATAAACATCATAGGAAATATGGAGAATTTTTTCCATCGAGTATCTGGAGTATATCAAGAACATTGACAGTTTTTGAAAGATCTAAAGGATACCGATAGTGTTAGTAATAAGGATATACGTATATTGAATCCTAAAGAATTGAACTTGGCCTCACAACCCCGCTCACTTACCGATTCCTTCCGTTGGAATACCAGACGGTTGAGGGAAAAAGTTAGGAATGAGATAGAACATAATCAGAAGATGCTCAAATCTTTGAAAATGGATAAGTCAATTGTAATCACAAGACCTGGTAAAGGTAGAGGAGTAGTTGTTATGGATCGAACTGATTATTATGAAAAAATGTCTCAAATCTCGAATGATCATACTAAGTTTCAACCTTTATGCACTGATCCTACTATAGCTCGAGAAACTAGTCTTACTAATCTTTTACGTAGACTATATAATCAGGGGCACATAAGTGAATCTTTATATAACAACGCTAGACCAGTCGGGTCTAATCCAGACTTCATGTACGGGTTGCCAAAAGTGCATAAAAAGGATACACCATTAAGACCTGTTTTATCTGCTATAAACACATTCAACTACAGATTAGGAAAAGAACTAACAAAAATTTTATCGGAATCACCTAAAAACTCCTACACTGTCAAAGATACTTTTGATTTTGTTAGAACACTTAAAACCAATGAACTACTGTCTACGGGTAGTATTCTGGTTTCTTTCGATGTAACTAGTCTTTACACAAATGTTCCGCTGGATGAGACTATTGACTTCAGAGCTAGGACGAAAGTGTTTGTACTTGTACTTTTAGTACTTTTTCAAGTAAAAGTATTATACTTGTACTTGCAAAAATGTACTTGATACTTGTACTTATACTTTAAGAAAAGTACTTGGTACTTATACTTGTACTTCGAGATAA